CACCTTAAGCGACATTGGAGGATACTAGTGAAAAGAATGGTGTCAATAGGTAAATAGGTGATATGACGTTAACGCTCCGACCAAGTTGCGAAAACGAGGTTGAACCATCACTATAAAGCTAGAGGAGACTGCGACCAAACAGAATGCCACACCAACTTGATCTTCATATCGTAGATGCTCCTGAGTCTTTCTTAAGAATGTCAATTAAAAACTCATAAGTACTTTAAATTTTTCGCTAAATTACACCCCATCCCAAAATGGCGACAGAAAGATGAAAATTCCATTGATCGACTATTGTCAGGAAGTACGAATCATTACTAACTTTGTTTGAGATTCAATTAACTTTTAACTAGGGTGGACAGACGTTTGTTTGTGAAGAGGAAGCTTGAAGTGAGAATATTTAAACTTTCCTAATGGCAGTAGCTACCAATCCATATCAGCCTGCTGAAAAACAAGTTTAAAAGGCCTGTGAATAATTAATTCCAATTTTATATTGATGGGTCCTATTACTTGACTTTAAGAGCTCAAGTTATCAAGGGACGAAACCAATCTCTTACTTGCAGGCTTCCATCACTCTTGACTGATTAGACATGTCCTCACAATCTAAAAAGTCTATATCTGATGAACCAGGTGCTGTGACCGCAAGTTATGCAACTTTTGCATCAGACTCATCTCTTGAGGTGTATCAGAGGCACTATTCAATGAAACATTTTCACGTAATAAGCATTTCAAGATTATCAACATTACCAATTATATCTTCAGGGTCCTTTTGTTTGCTTAAACCCATCCTACTCCTTCAATTGCTATCTCCGACTCTTTTTCGCCAACACTCAGATCAAGGATACGAGCAAACAACCTATCCATCAACTCTGTCTTCAAGAGCCTACCATCAGTTCCATCTGTATTTCAAGCAAAAACTCAAAGCAACCAACTCTTTGTTGACAAAAACAGTTACATTTGATGCGCCAGAAAGCAAATTCGTTGAACGGGAAGATAGAGAATCATCAGAACAATTTAATAGTGAGGTCGAGGAAGATGAGGAGGATGAGGATCAACAAGACTCTCAGCCATCCTCAAACTCGTCACTTTCTCTTACTGCTCGACATACTCGTCGATCCATGAGATCCTTGTCTCCCAACAGTGTTCGGGATTCACCTGCTGGCCTAATATTTTGCAAACGCAGAGGACTCGGATCCGTTAGTGACGCACTGCCAGGTCATGGTGGAAGCAGAGGTAATTGTGGCATTGGTGGCTGCGCAAATAGTGGAAAGAAACTACGTAAAGCGAGAACAGCGTTTACAGACCATCAATTAAATGAGTTAGAGCAGATGTTTGAAGC